CGCGGATATACAACAAGTTAAAAATAACTTACACTGACTGAGAGATGGACGAAAAGTGTAAGTTATTTTTAACTTAATTTGGATCTAACTGATATCAACTTTATTAGCAAGTTCCCGTAATGTTCATTCTTGCTATATAAAAACTGCAGTAGTTTCTCAAGTGCATGCGCAGCGATCCCTAAAACTTAAACAGCTTAGCCTCGGTTAAGCAGGAATTTTCTGCGAAACAAAATTTCGCTTGTAAGTGAAGATTGTAAACCGATCCTAAACTTAAAAGCAAAGTGACAACTCTCGGCTTTTCCGTGGACTCTGACCATCATTAGCTCATGAAACATTTTTAGAACTAAATGTATGTGCACTGTATGCTGCGTTTACTGTACATGTTGTGTACAGATAATTGCGTAAGGCACGCTGGAAATAATTCCGCCTGTAAGTGTTCTGATAAACCAGGGTCCACTGTATTAGGTATTTACATAAATTTACAGTAGCTTAGCGAGAGTATTTCTACGTGTAATTAGCATAGAACGGAGCAGTATTACATACAGTAATATACAGTACCGAAGTCTCTGTGTGACGGCCAGATCGGATGCATCGGGGCATATTAAACTCACCGGTGGATTCCCGAACACTCTATGCATAGCGTGGTGCCCAGGTTGATGCTGGCCCACCTCGGCTCATTCGCCTGGCAGTCACAACAGCGCTCGTTGCCTGGGATCGACATGACCTGCTGCCACAGACTGAAACACATTACCAGAGCTCAGAGAGAAGAGTACGGAGATATGTGGCATGCTACACACAACGTAGCTATAAACAAAAACCCATTCACTCTCCGTATCTTCCTTTCCACATCCTTCCACCTTCCTTGTCCACGTCTTCCACCCATCCCTTCTCCCTCCTCCTCCACCATGCCTCCTTCTCGGCCCTTCACTCTCTTTTCCTAAACTAGTCGTGAGCATGTGCTCTCTACGTTAAATGCATAATCCTCCTGATGATAATTATGTTAAGTGTACTGTATGCACCATATTTTTCGCCAATTCAGACTTGACGGACAATTTTGCATGTGGTTAATTTCGCGGTCTGTGAATTATGAATTATTCGGTATTATTCGGTATGAATTATTCGCGTGTAGTTATTTTCGCGATCGGGGGCGCGTTCGCGAAATTCGCGAAAATTAAACCACTGTGAAATATACAGCGTATACAGTATACCAACCTGGTTCTCGCTGGTTTTGGTAAGACAGTAGTGTCTAGGGTTGGGTCGCTGTCACTGGTCGACAGACGTCCGTTCGGCGTGCAGCTTGGTTTGGCATTGGCGGCTGCGCTGAGAGAGGGCGCAGACTCTGATGGATGCAGCGTGTCGCGGAACGCTGCGCCAATGCTCTCAGTCAACGCGTCGATCCACGTCCGACAGAGCACGTCCGTGTCCGACTGAAGGATGTGACTCCTAAAACAAGTGAGGTTATAATAAAAATATGTTTGTTTGCCCTCACCCGACCGACCCGTCAAAAAAGGGCCGACTCAAACATTTTTATTGATCTTTCCCATTATTTTTTTTTCTAAAATTTTTTATCTAAATTGTATCACTGTACATTATATAAATCTGCAGGCTATACATTATATGTACCAAGCAAAACAAACGTTCAACCTAAAAGGTATCTCCACACAAGCACACCCGAGCATGTAGACACCATGTTAAATTTGTAAAAAGACCCCCTCAAAAAAAATTTAAGCCTAACTACCTACACAAACTTTTAAGTCTGGGTCGGGTGATGGCAATCAATGATTTTTTAATTGTGGCCTGAACGGTACCGTGAGGTCAGGCATGGAACATAGCTCGAGAGGACGGCTAAAATAGTTCCGTGTTCGAATGGTTATGCTAGCCGCACACTATATGATTTTGCTCGGGCCCCAGTCGTAAGCCCTCGTACACTATACGGCCCGCTCCCGATCGATCGGGAGGCCCCCGCACACTGTACGACTCAAAGTCGGCGATAACCATGGCGCTTTCGTGGCGCTCCAAGCTGATTTAGCGTGTACTAAGGGTCGAGAGTGTTTTCCCGCCATTTTGACCAAATGCGGTTCCCATGGCGCTGCTCTGTGATTGGTCAATTTTCTTCAGCACTCGGCGGCGGGTCGGATGGCCACGCACACTATCCGAGTCGTGTCGTAAGCCCTCGCACACTATACGACCCGCTCCACTCCCAATTCAAATTTCGAATCGGCCCAAAATAACCTCCCGATCCAAACTTAAGCCTCCTGATCCAGACGTAAGCCTCCCGATGCCGCTCGGGTCGTATAGTGTGCGGCTAGCATTACACGTGCATTCTTTGTGTATGCACGCATGTACTCAAACACGTGTGCAGTGCATGAGCGTGTATATGTACGTGTATGCAAGGTTCTCCCCAGGATTTTCAAAAAGATTGTCGGGCAACCCAGCAATTCATCTACGATTGCTAGTTGGGGTCAATTATGTGTAACGTATGTGGTCTCAATACACAATTAAATCACTAGATCAACTATATCAGTTCGGAGATGTATATATCTAGCACTTAATTTGTAGTTATTTTCAAAAGTAAACACAGCTGGAGGCATGTTGGAGGATTTATGGAATGTTGCAAATTAGATTCTCAGTTTTGAAGGCATGTCAGGCCTGATGTGTGTGAAGGAGTGTGTTAACAGCCAGGGGAGAACCCTGGCATGTGTGCAAGTATTCATGTCTGGATCCATGTGTTTATGTGTGTGCGTGTGTCTGTGTCTACGTGTGCGTATGTGCATATATCCATGTATATGTGAGTAAGTGCATAAGCGTGTTTGTGCACATATTCCTACAAGGGTAGACGCGTGTATATATGCGCGTGTGTGTGCATAAGTGCACAAGCAGATATGCACACGTATACGACCATGTGAAGTCTGTGTACATATGTAAACGTACATACACATATATGTGGTGCATATATACACGCACATACACATATACGTGGTGCATATGTACACGTACATACACATATACGTGGTGCATATGTAAACGCACATACACATATACGTGGTGCATATGTAAACGTACATACACATATACGTGGTGCATATGTACACGCACATACACATATACGTGGTGCATACATATTATGTGTACGTAGAACGCTCACTTGGTGGGAGAGACGACCTCGAAGCAGAATCGCCGCTCGATCTCGTTACATGGCTTCACGGTGCACAGCCTCAGATCCTCTTCCATGACAGTTACTGTGTCCTTGGTCCGCTTCCTATACACCAGCTGGTTGTGCTGCACAGTGAACCACCGTCTGCAACAGGCAAAGCAGGCAGGCAGGCATCAGAGGTATGTCATCCGCAGCGAGAATATAGGGTCTCTCTCTCTCTCTCTCTCTCTGTAACCCTTCAGTCTCCTGGGCAACATAGGTCATTTGTGAACTCCCTCAATAAATAATAAATAATATGTTAGGCAGTTAGGGGTAAATGTCGCCACACTAAGGCACCGTAGAACCGAAAGAACAATCTCTAAATGAAACACAGCAGTGGTTTGCCTACCTCCTCTGCTCTGCTACACGTGAAACAAATTTTCAGACAGAGACAGAGACGCGCACAGGTGGATTGATCAGTGATAACACTCATGCATGGCTGGATTGATCAGTGATAACACTCGTGCGTGGCTGGATTGATCAGTGATAACACTCGTACGTGGCTGGATTGATCAGTGATAACACTCGTGCGTGGCTGGATTGATCAGTGATAACACTCGTGCGTGGCTGGATTGATCAGTGATAACACTCGTGCGTGGCTGGATTGATCAGTGATAACACTCGTACTCACTGATCAATCCAGCCACCCCACGCACGAGTGTTATGCATGCATCAAAGAGAGCTGAGAGACTCACCGATGCCATGCTTTGAAGGCATTGGAAGTCCTCTTGAAGAGATAGCCTTCCATACGGATCTCACCTCGCTGCTTCGGGCTGGATGCTATTGACAGCACCTGAGACTGAAACGAAACAGACACGTTTACAGTTCAAGCAGTTAATATGATTAATGACTAATAAACATAATGCACTATCCATGGAATCTCCCACACCATGTGAAAATAAGTAACACACGATAGTTGCACACCAACGTCCATGGCAGCTTCAGGGGTAGAAATGGGAATCTTTTGAACAAGGGAGTCCAACAGACTCCCTGCCCTCAAAAAGAGAGAGTCCGCAGCAAAATGAGGGAGTCTGCAGTCTGAAGTTCAAAATTAAAGATATTAACAATAACGCATGTGCTTATTTGGAAGATTCACGCGGTTGCACGTCTGCAAAATGTTCTTTGGACTTTTACTGAAAAAATACAGTAAATTCCGCGAGGCCGTTCTCTGGAACAAACTAGTTAGTATAGCAGAATTTTCAGGGCGTGACACAGACTCATATGTCAAATCAGGGAGTCCGACAGTAAATCAGGGAGTATTCGACTCCGGACTCACGTTAATTTCGCACCCTGCAGTTTAGTAGCAGAGCATGCATCATCGCTATGGGCAGTAGGAGCCAGATGCTGATGGTGAGGAATAGTACACACACACACGCACGCCATCAACGTGAACATCACACACCACTGTACCCAAACATGTAAAAATTCATTAAATAAGTTCATTCGGTTAGGGTTAGGGTTATCTATCTTATATATAAGGTTATCTATATACCTATAAGTTAGTATATCAATCCATCCTGTATTTGAATCCATCATGCGCGTTTTTTTCCCAAACTGGCCATCACCTCCTTTGTCTAATTTTCCCTCAGAAGAAACCCTGTATATATATATATATATGATATATAATATAAATATATAGATATATGATATATATTAGCCATTATATTAGATAATTGACAGCAGGCAGTAGATAATATGTGCTGCAGAAGAAGGCCAGCTACGTACCTTCTTCTGGACTAGACTGTGTCGCTCCTCCATCCTCCGCTCCGCACATTCCGCCTGGTTTCGCAACGCTGCGATCTGCAACAAAGCAATGCTGACGTCAGAGCAATCGCCGGCAGGCGCCTGGTTCACACTGCTCTGCGGTTTACGCACGGTTCTGTTGCTGTGAATCATCTCGCTGACAGATGAAAACAGATGCAGTGTAAGCAACATACACAACATGCTGCCTGTCTCTGTTCCCACAAAAACACCAGAAAGTTACGGCAAAGTAGTTCAGCGACAACTTCATCTCTAAGCAACACTCAAGTTGTGTCAGCGCCGACGAAAATTTTGCATTGCAAGTGGTCACTGTTTTGAAGCAAACATAATGCAGTATTGTGTAGATGGGAACAAGTGCGCAAAAGCAGGCACGCATAAGTGCATCACCACTAGAAATTCACTTAAGAACACAGTACCAGTTTCTAAATACCCTCATATGACGAGAGGCCATTATGAAGTCGAGAGAAAAAGACTTATTTTACGATAATTATTTACATAATATCAGTATTGAGTAATTTTTATACAATTAATAATTCATCCTATCTTGATGCCATGACTAGAGCATAGCTCCTCTCTGCACAATCCTGCTGCTGAAAATGTCATCGTGCAAAACTTGCTGCCATCATTCATGTAACTTAACAATGACACATGGTGTGTCCTTGCTGGTGCAGCAACTATGATGACTATAAGTCAAAGGACAACAACGTCAGTGATGTGACAACGACTGCCGATAGTGCATCTCACCTTGAGACCTGTCTGCTTGAGGAAGCAGTCGGAGTGTTCAAAGAAGTCGTGACCCTGGTGGAAGTAGACTGATTGTGCGTGAAGGAACGACAGCAGCTGAAACACACGCAAGCAGACGATATCAACACGAGCGTCTTAGCTTCGGCACGAGACAGTGACATAGAGACTTCAGCGTCTGGCAAATCCACAATGGTGTAAATGCACCAACCAATGCATGAGGTAAGAAACTTGCTACCTCACGTGCATCAGTAAATTTTAATTGAGTTTCAAACATAAAAGGTAACAATACGACGTGCCGTGTAAACTCTGACCACACTCATACGTGTACAGCACTACATTTTAGCGAAGGAGGAAGAAGAACAAGTGCCGGCACGAGCGACCACAGCGCTCACATGACGGTACTGTAGGCGGTATTCTTCTGAATAAAACTTACTGGCATACTGAATCAAGAGGCGCCTCCCCCCACCGCGTTGAAGGCCTTTGCTATACCGGTAGTACAGTATAATAAAGATATAGCTGTGTAACTTTAATTGACTTCGGCTATATTAACGTAATCATGGATTCATGGATATGCGTCGAGCGCGAGCGTAGTTGGTGGTGGGGATGGGGGCTCTAATAGCAAGGCAGTTCAGTCCTTTGTTAACAGTCAAGCCAATCCACTGTTTAACTCATCCTCTTGCAAGCGTCAACAAGGTTATCCAGGACATTAACGTGCTTTCGCATCGTCAGCGGGAAGTAGATTTTCAATGTGTCCTATTCAATAGTGTAAAATGCTAGGTCAGCGCCGAAACAAAAAAAAGTTTTGCACTCGGTCCGTTAGAGCCAATTCCTCAGCAAATGTCTGATATTCTGACCTTTCCCCACTGCCCTTTGACCCTGGGACCTCCAATTTCGGCACTGGTGAGGCGTTTCCTCCCCATCACACTAATACACCAATTATTAGAGTTCATAGGTCACCGTTGAGATTTGTGCCGATTTTCGTCATTTCCTCCTATACCTTAAGTGTAACGCGGAAATGTCCGCCACTTGGACATCGCTCGACCTTGACCCTTGACCCCAAATTCGACATCCCGGTCCCTTTTCGGCGTATTCCCCCCAGGCGTCCCGAGAAGAGGAGGGAAGGAGAACGAGAGAAAGGAGAAGCGAGAGGATGAAGGGAGAATAGAGAAGGAAGGAGTAACGAGAGAGAAAGGAGAACAGAGAGCGAGGAGGAGGGAACGAGAAGAAGGAGGAGAACGACGAGGGGAAGGAGAATGAGAGAGGGAGGAGAACGAGAGAGTGAGGAGAAAGCGAGAGAGGAAGGGAATGAGAGGAGGAGGGGAACGACGAGAAGAAGCGAGAACGAGAGAAGGGAAGGAGAACGAGAGAGGAGGAGAACGAAGAAAGAAGGGAACGCAGAGAAGCGAAGGAGAACGAGAGAAGGAAGGAAGAACGAGAGAAGGAAGGGGAAACGAGAGGAGGAAAAGCAGAACAAGAGGAAGGAGAACGAGAGTAAGGAAGGAGAACGAGAAAGAAGAGAACGACGAGAAGAAAGGAGAACGAGACGAAGGAAGGAGAAGACGAGAGGAGGAAGGAGTAACGAGAATGGGAAGAGAGAACGAGAGAATGAAGGAGAACGAGAAGGAGGAAAGGAGAACGAGAGAAGGAAGGGAAACGAGAGAAGGAAGGGATGAACGACGAGAATGAAGGAGAACGAGGAGAAGTGAGGAGAACGAGAAAGGAAGGGAGACAGAGAAAGAGACGGAGAGATGAGAACAGGAGCGTATGGAAGAGACGAGGAAGGAGAGAAGAAGCGAGAACAGAGAAAGAAGAGGAAAAGGAGAACGAGAGAAGGAAGGAAACGAGAGGAAATGAGAAGACGAGAAGGAGAGAAGGAAGAACAGAGAGGAAGCGAGACGAGAGGGGAAGGAGACAGGAAGAAGGACAGACAGAAGGCGCAGAACAAGACAAGGAAGGAGAACGAGGGAGGAAGGAGAACGAGAGCGAGGAAGGAGAACAAGAGAAGGAAGGAGAAGAGAGAAGGAAGATGAGAACGACGAGATGAAGGGAGAACGGACAAAGAAGGAAGGAGAAACGAAAGAAGAAGGGAGACAAGAGAAGGAAGCTTGAAGAACAGAGACAGGAAAGAAGAACGATAAGAGGAAGGAGAGAACGAGAGGATGAAGGAAAAACCGAGGAGAGGAAGGAGAAGCGAGACGAAAGAAGGAGAATTGAAGAGAAGGAAAGGAGACGAGGACGATGAAAGGGAAAACGAGAGAAGGAAGCTGAGGAACAGAAAGAAGGAAGGAGAACGAGAGGAGCGAAGGAGAACGATGAGATGGAAACGAGAACGAGAGGATGAAGGAGGAACGAGAGAAGGAGGGGACGAGAGAAGGAAAGCAGAAAACAAGAGGAAGGAGGAACGAGAGAAGGAAGGAGAACGAGCGAAGGAAGGAGAACAGAGAGAAAGGAAGGAGAACCGAAAGAAGGAAAGGAGAACAAAGAGAAGGAAGTGAGAACGAAGCGAAGGAAGGAGAACGAGAGGATGAGGGAGAACGAAAGGAAGGAAGGAGATTACGAAAAGACAGGAAGAGAACAAGAGAAGGAAAGGAGAACAAAGAGAAGGAAAGAGAAAGAAAGAAGGAAGCGAGAACGACGAGGATGAAAGCGAAAACGATGGAGAGAAGGGAGAACGAGAGAATGCGACGGAGACGAGAGAAGAAAGAGAGAAACGAAAGAACGGAAGTGAGAACGAGAGAAGGAAGTCGAGAACGATGAGAAAAAGGGAGAACAAAGAAGGAAGGAGAACAAGGAGAAGGAAGAGAACGAAAGAAGCGAAGGAGAACGAGAGGATGAAGGAACAACGGAAAAAGAGAAGGAGGAAACAAGAGAAGGAAGGAGAACAGAGAAGAAAGGAACGAAAGAAGGAAGAAGAACGAGAGGATGAAGGAAAACGAGAAGAACGGAAGAGAGAACAAGAGAAGGAAGGAGAACAGGAGAAGGAAAGAGAACGGAAAGAAGGAAGGAGAACGACGAGGATGAAGGAAACGAAAAGTAAGAGCGAGAACGATAAGAAGGAGGAGAACAAGAAAGGAAGGAGAACGGAAGAGAAGGTAAGGAGAAACGAAGAGAAGGAAAGAGAACGAAAGAAGGAAGGAGAACAGAGAAGGAAGGGAGAACAAGAGAAGGAATTGAGAACGAAGAAGGAGGAGAACGAAGAGGAATGAAGGAAAACGAAAGAAGGAAGGAGAACGAAAGAGGAAGGAGAACAAAGAAGGAAGGGAACGAGAGAAGGAAGGAGAACGAGAGAAGGAAGGAGAGACGAGAGGGATGAAGGAGAACAGGACGGAAGGAAGCGGAGAACGAAAGAAGGAAGCGAGACGAGGAGGATGAACGGGAGAACGAAAGAAGGAAGCTGAGAACGGAAAGGAGGAAGGAGAAACAAAGAGAAGCGAAGGAGAACAGAGAAGGAAATGAGAACGAAAGAAGAAGGAACGATGAGGATGAAGGAAAACGAAAGAAGGGAAGGAGAACGAAAGAAGGAAGGAGGACAACGAGAATGGAAGGAGGAAGCAGAGAAGGAAAGAGAACGAAAGAAGGAAGAGAACGACCGGGATGAAGAGGAAAACGAGAGGAGGCAAGGAGAACGAGGAGAAGGAAAGAGAACGAGAGCGAAGGAAAGGAGAACGCAAAGAAGGAAGAATGAGAACGAGAGGATGAAGCGAGAACGAGAGAAGGAAGCGCGAACGAGAGGAAGAGAGGAACGAGAGAAGGAAGGAGACGAGAGAAGGAGGGAGAACGACGAGAAGGAAGATGAGAACGAGGAGAAGGAAGGAGAAACAAGAGAAGGAAGGAGACACGAGAGGATGAAGGGAACGAGGAGGATGAGGAGAACGAGAGCAAAGGAAGGCAGAACGACGAGAAGGAAGGAGGAACGAAGAAGGAAGGGAAACGAAAAAAGGAAGGAGAACAAGAGAGGAAGGAGAAACGAGGGATGAAGTGAGAACGAGAGGAGGAAGAGGAGAACGAGAGAAGGAAGGAGAACGAGGGATGAATGGAGGAGACGAAAGAAGGAAGGAGAACGAAGAAGGAAGTGAGAACACAGAGAAGAAGGAGAACGAGAGGAGAAGGAGGAACGAGAGAAGGAAGAGAAGAACGAGAGGAGGAAGTCGAGGAACGAGAGAAGGAAAGAGAACGAGAGAAGGAAGGAGAACGATGAGGATGAAGGACGACGAAGAAGGAAGGAGAACGATAAGAAGGAAGTGATGAACAAGAGAAGGACAGGAGAACGATGAGGGAGGAAGGAGAACGAAAAGAAGGAAAGGGGAGAAACGAAGAAGGAAGGAGACAGAGAAGGAAGGAGAACGAGAGAACAGGAAAGAGAACGAAAGAAGGAAGGAGAATCGAGGGAGATGAAGGAAAACGACGAGGAGGAAGGAGAACGAGAGAGGAAGAGAACGAGAGGAGGAATGGAGAAGAAAGAAGGAAGGAGAACGAGAGGATGAATGAGAGAACGAATGAATGGAAGCGAGAACGAAAGAAGGGAAGGAACGAGAGAAGGAAGGAGAACAAGGAGGGGAGGGGAACGAGAGAAGGAAACTGAACGAAGAGAAGGAAAGAGAACGAGGAGGATTGTAAGGAAACGAGCAGGAGGAAGGTGAGAACGAAAGAAGGAAAGAGAACGAGAGGAGGAAGGAGACGAGAGAAGGATAGAGAACAAAAGAGGCGGAGAACGAAGAGGATGAAGTCGAAAACGAGCAGAGGAAGTGAGAACTGAGAGAAGGAAAGAGAACGAGAGAAGGAAAGAGACGAAAGAAGGAAGTGAGAACGAGAGGATGAAGATGAGAACGAAGAGGAAGGAGAAACGAAGAAGGAAGGTAAACAAGGAAGGAAGGAGAACGACGAGAAGGGAAAGAGAAACGAAAGAAGGAAGTGAGAACGGAGGATGAAGGAAACGAGAGCGAGAAGCGAGAACGAGAGAAGGAAAGAGACGAGAGGAGGAAGGAGAAACGAGAGATGAAGGAAAGACGAAGGAGAAGGAAGGAGAACAAAAGAAGTAAGTACGAGAACGCAGGAAGAAAGTGGAGAACGAAGAGAAGGAAGGAGAACGA